CTGAATTTAATGTATTCCCTGCGGGTTTCGAACCCACGCGCCTTGGTTTCCCACGCCAAGGCGCTACCGGGTGGCCGTATTAACCATTCGGCCACCGGGGCTCTCAGACTTGATTAGTTTCAAAGGTTCAATCTGCAGATTCAATAATGTACATGTCATATATAGTTAACTGATAGAAAGAAAACAGTTCATATAATTCTATTAACTGATATAAGAAGAACATTTCATGTCTCTGATATAGAAGAGTTAAATCTGCTTATATATTAATAAGTAAAAAGAACAATTTACAAGATCTTATTTAAAAGCATTCTGTATATCATACAGAACTCAGAAGCAGAGAAAATCAAGATAAAAGATATATAGAAGAACAAGTGTATGAAAAAACTTCTGAAGAAGTATGAAAAGATCTTCTAAACAGATCTTTCACTAGAATTGCTGCTGAAACAAGAATTTATATATGAGATTAATACAGAGAATGTGAAACTAGTTAATCAGAATATATACTCTCTGTTATAAACATATCTCAAAGAACAGAAGTGTCAGATCACAGATCTTCTAGAACATAGTCTTATACAACTCTTATTAAGTATGTGAGACTTTTCAGTTCTATTCATAAAAAAGGCAGATGAGAAGTAACAGATATGTATTAATTATCAAGCACTTAATAAGCTTATAATCAAGAATGAATATTCACTGCTATGAATTTAATAACAGTTGAATACAGTCAGAAACATCTGATATCTATTAAAGATTAATCTTCTCTCAGAATATTAACAGATCTGTGTAGATAAACTGTTAATACTACAAACTATATTTAATACATAATGAGAGAAGTTCAAATTCCTGACAATATTATTCAGTCTAATGAATATACCTGTCATCTTTCAAATGATAATGAATACAATTCTTTATAAACAGAATAAAATCTCATATCTCATATATCTGAATGATATCTTAGTTTTCTTAAACTCATATAATAAACATCTAAAGTATCTTGATAAAGTGCTTACAACTCTGATAGAGTATAAGCTCTATATCAAATCAATCAAGTGTGTGTTTGAAATAGAAGAGTTGAAGTTTATGAGATATATAATAAGTAGTAACTGTATACATCTCATCTCAGAGAAATTGAATGTTATAGTGAATTAACTGCAGCTGAGAAATATACATTATATATAACAGTTTCTTGAGTTGATCTTATATTATCACAGATTCATCAAAGATTTCATATGAATAGCTGCATCACTCTCAGATCTCTTAAGAGAAGTAAATACTAATCTGCAGAAGAAGAAGTTTTGTTCAATTATCTGAAATACTGTATACAAAGAGACTTTTCTCACACTGAGAAAATGTGTGATAACATTCTCAGTGCTTATTTAATCAGATTATGATAAATCTTTCTAGACTGGCCGCTGAGATCATGAATTTCATGTTTGGTTCCATTTGATCTGATCTCATACATTTCTTAGCGTGAATCCCGCTGGGACTAGTCATTAAAAAAACATGTAAAGTGACTATATATCAGATCTTAAAATGAAACCATGACTTGAAAAAAATGAGAAAGTGATTTCATTTGATTTCATTTAGTCTTATTCTTGGCATAAAGTTACTATTTTTAGACATTTTAAGGTTTTTTTTAGACTATTTTTAATTTTTTAAAAAGTAATGCTTTTTGATAACACTTAAATGAGATTTAAAGTCACTTAAAGCAATAAAAATAATTTAAATTGAGAAGTGGAAATCATGGTTTCATTTGGAAAATGTGACAAGAGTAGACAGTAAGTTTCACTGAGACAGTATGAAACTACTATCTAATGTTAAAACTGTGTAATGAAATCAGTTGAATTAGTAATGAGACTATCAACATATCTGGTCCTGATCTCAGACACAGTTACACAGTCAGTCTAAATCTTTCTACATTGAGATGAACATATCTGAATGAGCTATTAGAGACACTTTTCTACAGATAGATAAGAATAGCAAGCTGCATCTGATAATGTATAATAATAGAAAACTATCAGATGCTGAGCTTAATTACTCAGTGTATAAAAAGAAATTGCTAGTAATTAAGCACACACTGATATTATGAAATAGATATATCAACAACAGATATATAATAATAATGATCACAGATCATGAAAGTCTTGTCTATCTACAATTAATAATGAAATCTTTCAAACACTTAGTATGTTAAATCTCAGAGTTTCAAGCATACAATCTTTATATGAAATATTAAAAGAGATCAGATACTGTAATATCTAATACAATCAGTCACAGATCTGATTTTATAAGTGAGAGTTCTGCAAATCAGATATAAGAGAAGTTTATATTAAATATACTGAGAAGATATAAGAAATCAGAATAAGTGAATGCAATAATCTCTTACTTAAAGAATGATAAGATATCAGATAACAAGCATCTTATAAAAGTAGTAGAAGAGATACTTTCAAACTTCAAGTTAAAGAAATTGAAAAATGATGTTATACTTTATTATGATCTAGAATATGTGAAAGCTCTCTATCTAGAATATTTATTTAAATATAACTTAATGACTTGCATACATAAGAAATTTAGTCACTTAGAAAGCTCTGAACTCATAAGTGTACTTGAACTGAGAGTATACTAGTTAAGTATGACTGAGAATATCCAGGTATATACTCACAAGTGCCTGAATTATCAGGTTATGAAAGAATCTAAGAAAGAATTGAAACATGAGAAAGTATAATATTAAATGAAATATATGATACAATTATTCAAATAATGAGAGATGAATCTCATAGATATACTGCTGTGAATGTCAAATGAAAATTATTGAATAATAACTGCTATTGACTACATCACTGACTAATCAGTTGTAAAAGTAGTTTCAGAAGTAATAGAGAAGATAATGACAAAGTTTCTATATAATAAGATCTATATTCACTATGAAATACTGTGTGAGATTCTAACTGATAATAGTGTGAATCTTATAGAAGAAGTAGTAAGGCATTTTATGAGTCAGTTACAGACAAGATATTGTAGAACAATGTCATATCATCACAGATAAATGAGAAGATGAAACACTTGAATAAAATCTTGAGTAACATGCTAATAAAATATCTAGTGAATAAGTCTACATAACTATAAGATGAATATCTCAGTCAGATACTATTAGTCACACAAATTCAGTAGCATGCAGTCTTTAAGTGTTTATTATTCTACCTGTTGTATAAGTTGCATTTACACATCTCAGAGAATGCTTCAGAAAAGATGAGAAAGAGAACAGCAGTTGTGAATACAACAGTTGCAAATGCAGCAGTTACAGTCATAGAACTAAGATTGAAAGAGATCAGTTATACATATATAAAAGCTAATAAGTTACTTCTGAATCAAGCAATTCAATTGAAAAGAATACAAGACTCACTAGTTAAGAAATCAAGTCTCAAGATGAGAACATGAGTTCTCATACATAATGAGAGTTCTGAGAAGTTTCAACCTAGATGATTTGAACTATATAAAATACTCAAATCACATTCTCTGAAAACATACACATTGAAGAAATCAGAGAAACAGATCTTATACAACTTAATAAATAATTTATATCTTATGAAGATAAAGATGTAAGATCTGAGTGAATTATAATTATCTACAGCACTATTATCAGTGTTGAAAAAGAAGAGACTTATAATTAAAAAGTCTCATGAAGTAAGAGAAATCATAGACACTTATGAATCAGATAATCTTATTTATTTCAATCTTTTCATAATTATAAGAAAAGAATAAGAAGAAATAAAGAAATCAGATAAATACTACACTTTAATAAGTAATAAGACTGTAGCTGATCATATAATAACACATCATAGATAGTGAATGCAACATAGTAAAGAGCAGTCTCAAAGCAGTAGACTTGTATATAAGTCAGATTACAGAAGAAAAAGAAATTCAGAGTTGAATTTGACTGTTTACATCAGTTTAATTACAGAGATGACAGAGAATGAAGCATCTGAAACATTTACAAACATATAAAATTAAGTTATCTCAATCTCTGAAAACACTCAGAGATCAGATAAGATTAGTTTCAATAAGTTATTCACTGTAGTGATCTGAGTAGGTGAAGAGAGACAGTATAATACATGAGACAGAATTATAAAAGATGAAAGCTGCTGAATCTAGTCATTGAACACTGTATTATATAGAGATCATATAAGAGTAGTGACTAGCAGACAAAGAAAAAAGTGTAAGAAAAGAAAAGAGATAATAAATTGATTATTAACTGTAAGAGTCAGCTGTAAAAAGACAAATATTATCATATATATCTCATTTATTTTCATATGTCACATGTTTAATCTATTTTTAACACCATGTCATCTGAAAAATATCAAAAACAAAGAAAATCTCAAAACTCAAGATTTATAAGAAATTAAAGAGCTGTAAGTTACTCTTATAACAATATTATATACATCTCTGATTTCTCTATCAGTCTGTATATAATATTAATATCATTTATCACAAGATTGTCTGAAATGCCAATATAGAAATATGTACATATGTGTGTAGAAAAATTGAAGAAGAGTGTAAGATCTGCAGAATTAGAAGTCAGAATAGAAGAGATAAAGACAGAAGAAATGAAAGAAGAAGAAGATGCAGAATCAGATAAACAACAGCAGAAGTCACTCAAAGTTAAACACTTATAACTCAGTGTATACACAATCTTCTCTGCAGAGAAGAAAGAGAAAGTACTGAGAGAAGCTTAAAAGTGAAAGAGAGTAGTCTCAGCAGTGTTATCATCTTTAATTAGAATGATCTCTGACACTGAAGCAATTAAGAATCATTATTAGTGTATAAAGAATTACAAAGTCAAAGATAAGAACAGTTATTAAATGAACACCTACTGATCTTAGAGTTGTACATGTAATTACAACACACACAAGACTTCTCAAAAAGAGAGAGAGGAATATAAGAGAATGCAGAAAGCAGAATACAGTATATGAACAGCTTATTCTTATAATAACATCTCAGACAAGGTATATAAGTCTTATGTCTGTGAATGTAAAAGAGTACAATATTCACATTTTCATTTCTGAAAACACAGATATCTTTCATCTGCATCACAAAGTCAGATAACAGACATCAGAGAATAGACTGATATGAATCTATCATTTCAAGAGAATTTATCACAGTAGATATACTCACAATATTGAATTTAATAGTTATGAAAAGTTTCTTAGTATCTGTGAATATCATGACTTTATGTATAATAAAACTTATAATGATTTCCTCTAAGAACAGGAAAATCAGTGTCAGAAAGAAAAGATGAAAAAGAAAAAGACTTATAATCTTAACACTGTTGAGAAGAAGAGTGATTCTTTGATATAAATAAATGATTATCTCATTACAAATATTTAAAATAAACATAATAATCAGTGTCTGTGACTGAGCTTCAGATAGTCATATCATACACAGTTTTCATACAATAAATTATTTTAGAGATTGATAAGAAGAGTAGAAGTGTATATACTGAGAAACATAATTCATTAAGTCTATACAACATCTTCTTAAAACAGAGAGAGCTGATAACAAAAGCAGAGACAGCAGAAGCAGAGAGAGCAGAAGTAGCAGAAGCAGAAGTAGTGAAAGTAAGAGTCACAGAAACAGGGATAGTAAGAGTGAAAGAATCAGACACAGAAACAGGTGTAGAAGATTGAGAAGAAGTAGCAGAGAAAGAAACAGAGAGAACAGAAGAAGATGCAGAAGACTCAGTCACACATAATATAGATAATTTCTCTGTTATCATATCTTTTAAGTTCTCAATCAACAATTCAACATTAAGGTCATGATTATCAGCAGATGTGAATCTGTCAATGTATGAAGATTCTATATAAATTAAAACAAATATATCAGTATCTGCATTCATGCAAAACAATCAGAAAACATGATCAGAAAACACAATCAGATACTCACTGAAAAAAGAAGATCAAGAGTGTATAAGAAGATGAAGAAGATATATCATTTATAGTAGTACATTCTGATAATTATTAGAAGATAAACAAGTTCTAATTATATTTCATAACATGTTACACTTACTGCTAATAAACTGTCTGATATGAGTACTACAAAAACACTTGTTATGAGAACAAGAGATCATTGCTAGAAATGCATACAATGTAATAGATAAACAAATAGAAAGTATTGAACAGAAAAAGAAGTAGAAATCTTGAATAAGATGATAATATACAATGATGATGATAATGAAGAAGATAATTGAAAAATGAAAAAAGTTAGTGAATAAGTAATATAATATAGTGAAAGTTTCTTTATGAGAATGTATACAGAATACTAGCTGAATCAGAGATAGACTACACTATCATGAACACTAGTGACACACTAATTCACATGAAGCTAGAGTGTATATTATAATCATGTGAGTGTAACTGAATCTGATGAGAAAGAATATAATTTAAAAGAATATACAATCACTGAATAATAATGCGGCTGCTTCTGAACACACTTATAAATATAAAGAGGCTCTAGCAGTCACTAATTAATTTAGATAATATATATAAGAAGCCAGCGTACGCCTGTAATTGTACGCTGGCTCAAGTGACCTTTGAATCACATTCAGTGCAGAATTTCTTATTGAGAACAAGAATCTCTGAAAATCAGCAGTAGAATCTTTTTTAAACATAATAATTCTATCTAAGAGAGATAAAAAGTGAGATAAATTCATTCTTCACAATATTTCAGTTGAAATTTTTGACTATGAAGAAGAAATACTACTTCTCAAAAATGAATTAGAAGAATATAACTCTATTTAACTGAGAAAAGAGTCTGTATGACTAAATTCAATTGAGTTCAGATAAAGCAGAAGAAATGCCTCTATTCTAGTATATATAAAAACACTTAAATAATCAAAAATCTCTGAAGTAAGAGTAACAGATTTAAAAATAAGAGTTCAAGAATACAAAGACTCAAGAATGAATCTCAAAGCTTAAACACAGTGTTTAAACTGTCAAAGATATGAACACTTTATAATCTCTTATTTTAGAGACTCAAAATGTACATTCTGTGCTAGAGATCATAAAACTAGTGAGTATAAATATGAAACATGCTTAAAAAGAGATGAAATATGTTAATATACTCTGCTTAAATACTCTAATTGCAAAGAAAAACATGCATCTAGCTCAAAAGAATGTATGTTTACTTCAAGAACTCAAAAGAACTGAAGAAAAGATGAAGCTCAAAGTCAATCTAGAACTGAAGAGAATAGTCAAGTCAGTAAACTTATAACTGTAAGCTTAAAAAGAAGAAACTCTTAACTATCTAAGTCTTCAAACTTCAATTCTTCAGCTAAATATAAACAGAATTTGAATTCTCAAACTTCTGTTAAGATTAGAGAATTGAGAAATGACTCTGATAATAAACTAGATATAATGCAAGCAGTTGAGATTTCTACTTTTTAAAATAGTTATAATTCACTATCTGATAATAGTGATTAGATTCTACTCTATCTCTACTCTCTTTTAATATAAATATACAATAAAAATAACAAAAAAAGTTTAAAAACTCTTCAAAAATCACATTTATTTAAAATAATGTGAATAGAAACTCAAATTGTATTTATTCTTATCTTCAAATTGCATTTGAATAAAAAGTTGATTTTATACTACTTCAGAAACTAAATTTTAATACTGAGTAAAAATACATCATTTCTCATTCAAGCTACTACTACTTTCTATCTCAAAAGTCTGAGATAAAGTCAAGAGTAGTGATCTATGAAGAAAAGAGATTAAGATATTAATTTAATCTAAGATTTAATATTATGTCTGACTCTGATATTCTGATGAGTGATATTATAGATAAAGAGAATGAGTTTAATACTATATAACTTATAAATATCTATAATAAAAAGTCATTGAAGAAAAATAATAATATCTGAATAATTAATAGAGAATTTCTGAACATAACTTCATTAAGAAACTCTATAATTATAGAAGATTTCAATGCATATCATCTCTGATGAAATTCAGAATGCAGAAGAGCAGTAAGAGTAGATAATCTGATTAAATAAATCTTTGAGTATTCAATAGATTTAGTTAATAAGTCTGATTAATAAACATTCTTTGGAAAAGATATGAAACAGAAATCTATTATAGATTTAATCTTTATATTATAAAATCTAATTGAAAAAGACTTGTAAACTGATTTATTGATTCAAATGAGACATCAGAATTAGATCATGAGATTATTCAATTTGATATTGAACTGAGTGAAAAATAATAAATGAGTGAAAACTCTCTTCTCTCTAATCAGTTTAACTTTAAAAAAGCTGATTCAAAAGCAGTTGAAGAAAGTATAAAACTGTTAAAATCTGAAAAGCAGAGTGAGCTATATTGAAATTCTGATCAAGATATCTCAAATGAAATACTTGAGAATAGAGTAAAGCTCATTACATCTATTATTTTAATAAGTATTAGAGATAATATTTCAAAGAGAAAGTCTTCTGAGTATTTTAAATCTTGATGAAATAAGAATATCATATCTAAAAGAAAATAATTAGCTACTGCTAGAAGAGATTGAGAGAATAATATAATATCTGATAAAGAGTTCAAAGCTGTCAGAAATGAATATTTTTCAGATATTAAAAGAGCTAAAACAGACTACTAAAACAAATTTCTTAAAGAAGCATAAGAAAAAGAAGTTTTTAAAGCTTTTAACTATACTAAAATAAGAAGTATAGTAAAACTTCCAGCCTTAAAATATAAGTTTCAGAATGAATTATATACAGCAAATTCTTTTGAAAAAAAATGTCAAGTTTTTATAAGAATTCTCTTTCAAAACTCATCAGATTCAGATTCAGAGAAAGAGAATATATCACTTTACAACTATATTAATAAAAATGACTGAGAATGATCTGAACTTACATAAGATGAATTAGAGTCAGCTATCTTCTCAAGTTCAATTAAAACTGCTACAGAGCCTGATTCAATCAATCACTTAATTATTCAAAATACATATTTCTACTTAAAGAATGAATATTTTAAGCTCTTTTTCAATCTCTTGAAAAATGAGTATTATTCTGAATACTGAAGAGAAGTCACTGAAGTAATTCTTACAAAATCTAATAGAAAAGCTTCAATTTTTAAGTTATATAGAGTAATATCTCTATTGAACTGTTTAAAAAAGGTTTTAGAAAAGATAATAGCTACTTAACTATCTTTTATAAGCTCTATTAATAATTCTCTTCTATTTAATGAATAAATGAGAGATAGAAAACAATACTCTGCAATTGACACTATTCTCTCAGTTATTTATAATATTTAAATAGTGAAGTATGAAGATCTGATCTCAACTGCAGTTTTTATTGATATAAAAGATGTATTTAATCATGTTTCAAAGTCAAAGTTAATTCAGATCTTGAAGATATTAAAACTGCTGCTTTTTCTAATAAAATGAGTTAACTGTTTTATATCTAAAAGAATTATATAACTATTCTTTGATGTAATAAAATAAGATAAGACTGAGATAAAAATAGAAGTACTATATGAATTTTCAATCTCACTCATTTTATTTATAATATACACTGCATATCTATTCAAGAATAGAGATATGAAAATAGTGAGATTTTCAAGTTATATGAATGATATTGATCTAGTCTACAGTTCAAAAACAATCAAAGAGAATTTAGAAGTAATTTAAAAAGTAGTAAAGAAAATCTTTGTTAGAGTAGATATTAATTAAATATAATTTAATATGAATAAAACTGAGTTAATTCATTTCTTTTCTAGATTCAATGAGAAAGAACTATACTTAACTCTTTTAAATAAAGATATTAAACTCAGTTTGAATGTTAAATGATTAGAAATTTGATTAAACTTCAAGTTGAATTTTAAATATCATATTCAACAAAGAACTATCAAGACAGAAAGACTATTAAATACAGAGAGAGATCTATTCTTTCAGACTATGAGATAGTTATATATAGTCTGTATTATCTCAGTAGCTGATTATAAAGTTCAAGTTTGATAAAATAATCAAGAAAATTTCACTGAACTCTTTCAAAGTCTGTAAAACAGAGCTTTAAGAAGAATTCTGAGAGTATTCAAATTATCTTCTATTAAAGTAATGAAAATTGAAGCTTCAATTCTCTCTTCTACTATTAAATTTGAAAAGATCTGTATGAACTATGCTCTGAGAGTTATAAAAATAAGCTTAAATTATATAATTAAAGAAAGAGTCTTCTCTTTATTTATATTAATTAACTTAGAAAATAAACTGAATTAAAATAGATTTCTTGATTGAAATGAAAATAATTCTTCAAAGAAAATACTCTCTCAACTATACAGACAATACTCACTGATTAAAAATTAATTTTCTTTATTAAATATTGAAAAAGTTAATTATGAGAAGATATCTCTCTGAAGAGAAAAGCTTGAATCTTTCATAGACTTGCAAATAAGTAAACTATCTAAAGAGAGAGAATATAAATAGTATTTGAAGAGAATCTCTATAATTAATATAAAAGACTCTATTCTGATTTATTCAGATGATTTCAAAAATGAGAATTTAAATAGATTAGATACAGACATTGCTTATACTGAAGATAATATTAATTTTATCTCAGATTTCTGAAATTTAAACTATTAATCTGAAGTCTTTGATGCTGAACTATTTATAATAGTGAAAGCTTTTAAACTCATTGAAATAAAATCTTATAAAAGAGAAAATTATTTGAAAGAGATATGAATATTCTCTGATAGTCAAGCTACTTTAAAAAGACTTAGAAATAGTTAGATTTATAATAATTAAATGAATCTAGAACTGATTTTAAACTCTGTTTTGAAAATTTAAAAGAGAAGAATATTAAAACTGATAAT